TTAAATTAAGAAATGTGCAAAAGAAAATACGTATACATATATACATAAATATACAAAAAAAAAAACAGTGTATATGAAATCTCTCAGAAGCGCATTAAAATAAAAAGAAAAAAGTATAAAGAAAAAGAAAAAGAAATGATGATGCAAAGTGAGAATATATTATTAAATGTATTTAGATTAAGATTGAATTATTAGGGAGGACGAGAGAGAAAGAAAACAGAAAAAGAAAAAAACGATCATTAAATCGTGTACATAAACATCGTTGGCAATATTCAACTTCGCCCGTCCATTTAGTTTCTAGACCACAAGTCTCTACGAATTGTTCCTTTCAAGCCAGCATCGAATAGGTCAGAAACGATTGAAGATAATTTGCGCCTGTAATTCTTGTTAATCTTATCGTTAAACACGTTGACATAATTTAAAAAATAGTCGAAATGTTTCCTTCTCGAATAGAGAATAATTATAATATTTTAAAATACATCATTGTTTATGTTTAAGATACACACTTCCAATACTCCGAACATTCATTTTTTTTTTCATCGATGATTAACCCATTCATTATTTTATCTCATAATTACTATTGCCATCGTTTTTATTTTTTTATTATTTTTATTTTAATTTTAATTTTATTTCAATTTTCACTTCATTGAGATGTAGGTATTTCTTCGAAATGATCGAGTTTTTGTACATGTGGCGTTAAATATGTGGTTATAGCGATACAATAATAAAATTCAATCAAAATGATTAAAATTAACGAATAAAATTTAACGACACGATACAAGATATGTAATGCTAAATATTTTTAGAATTGTTTCAAGATTTATTATTGTTTTCTTTTCTTGGTGAATCTACTAATCTTTTAGTATTTTATCACCATTTTCTTAACGATCCCATTTAATAATAATTTTATTATTGTAATGTAATTTCACTTTATTTTTCTTATATTTCTATTATTTAAAAAAAAATGCATTATCTTTTTCAAGTTAAAATAAAAATAAAAATGTGTGAAAAATATTTAGTATAATTTATGTTAGTTTTAAATTTATATTAAAGTATATAGTAATTAATTATTCCTCCACTGTATGCCTTTCAAGTATGGAAATATTTGAGACTTGTGTTTTTAATTGCTAACGAAGGATATTCCTACTGAATAATTGTACAATATACGAACATCTTTACACGCATTTCAAGTACTCACATTCTGTACAAAAAATTTATAACTACTAACTAATAAACAAATTTCGGCAATGAGTTAATTAAATAATCAATTTCATTTTTAATTTTTTTATTTATTTATTTATTTATTTTTTTTGATGAAATAATTGATTAAACTATAGATATAAAAAGTAATACAAATTATAATATGTGTACGACATTGTAGAATTTAAATTCGATTATCGATTGATATCGAAACATTCGAGAACAATGTTAGAGAAAAACAATGACGATTCAAGTAGTTCTGAAGATGAAATATCAAAAAATGCAATAAAAGAAGCAACTGATCATCAACTTCTAAAAGAACACTATTTTTCCAACGAAAAATTTAAAAACGCAGATGTTTCTAAAAAGCCGGATGAACGTAAGTATTATAACCTCACTTTCATATCTTCATATCTTAATCATTATAATTCTTTATTTTTTATCATAGAATTTCTAATAAACGGCAATTTTTCTTTTCTTCTTTTTTTTTTTTTTTAGGTAATTCAATAGAAATTAATAGTGTAATAAATCCCATATCATTAAGAAAAAAATTAGAGTATGAAGATACATTTTCCAATTTTGGTGTGACTCCAACATTTCAAAATTATGTTGCAAAAAAATTAGATGAAATATTAGAAAAGTACGTAATTATTTAAAATACATAATTATTAATTTGAATTTAAATTATCCACATTAAATAATTTTCATTTATTTTTTACATACTAAGAGAATTTTTCAGATCCATTAAAATAAAGAAGAAAAAGACAGACAATATTATAAATGAAAAAGATAATGAAAGTAATAATTATGGTATAAAATTGCTCAATTCTTCATCAGAGTTTTTAATAGTTGAAGAAGATTTTCCAAAGTTTCAAAAGAAAAGAAAAATAGAAACAAATATAGAAGAAAAAGCAAATTTATTAAAATGTAAAGAAGTGGCTGTAGATCCTGAACATATATTATCAAAAATAGATACTAAAGCTTGGACAAACAAACGAAAAGAAGTTGAATTTAATTATAAGAAACTGAAAAATGGTACTTTAGTCGAAAAACCTAACAATAGGTTAGGTTCGTAATATTATTACTTATAAATTAATTTGTAATGCACATATATAAATAAATGGATTTATATATAAATCTTAAATTTGAAAATATATTTTTCCCTTCTTAACATATAAATTTTCTATTATACATCTAAAGATTATTTTTATTACGATATTAACTTATGTGGTATATAGTGCAAATCACGTAACACGTTTGAAAATGATTATTACGTCTTAGACATTTAAAATTAAGAAATTATTAAATTAATATTAATGCTGTTAAATTGAATAATTTAAGAATAATTTAAAATAATGAATAATCAAGAAACAAATTTTACAAATATAAATAATATTTGCAAATTGCACGTATCCATATTATTAACCTCAAACTGTTATAAACTGTTATAAATATTTATATATTATATATTATATATTTATATATATTTAAATAATTTTAAAATAGCAAGCCTAAGAATTTATTTTTTAAATCATTTTAAGTATTTTTTGGAAAATTTTTTCAATTAAAAATTTTATATCATAAATATATAATAATATATAATAATATTTATATTAATATAAAAAATTCATGAAAAATACATTGTTTAGAACTTTTTATTTATTTTTAGATGTAATAAACGCTCTCATATATATACTTGTCCACGATGTGAGATAAAATATTGCAGTGCTGATTGCTATAAATCAGAAGCTCATTTAGAATGTTCAGAAAGTTTTTATAAGCAATGTGTAATAAATGAGCTCAAATCTCAAGAAAAAGATGCAGAAGATAGACAAAAAATGTTAAAAATTCTCAAAAGAGTACATGAACAAGATTTAGAAGATATGGAAACATTGGAAAATGATGAAATTGATGAAGAATCAGAAGAACAATTAGATTCAGATGATGAAGAGAATGTAAATTGAATTCATATTGATATAATAATTTGTATCATCTTGATGACACAACAATTTGTTTCTTTATTCTTATTTAAATATCTAATATTAATATCTGAACTATTTCTTTTTTAGATATCAGATTTAGAAAAAAGACTTTATGATATAAATTTGGATAATGCAGATGAAGTATGGTCTGTATTAACAAATGCTGAGAAACAAGAATTTGAAGCTTTAATAAAAAATGGTGATATAGATAAATTTTTACCAAAATGGATTCCATGGTGGATTCATTGTACGAAAAAGAAGCTTGTTGAAGATATGGATCAAATGTATGATGAACAAGCACAGAAACTTCCTCCGCTAATAGATGTTCCAATATTTAATGAATTACAGGTAATAAAATATATTAAAAGCTTAATGTAATATAATATTATAGAAATTAAAATATTTCTTACAGAAAGCTTCTCCAAATGTTAAATATAATGTAATAAATGTAATCTATGCATATGCATACATAGCAAATTATTATAATGGTGACTATTTAAATTGTCCAGTAGAAGCTACAATTGTTTTTCTTGATCTCAGTGAAAATATGAAATACAATAAAATTTATGAAAATTCAGAATCAGCAATAACTTCTGTTGTTCATAAAATCATTAGTGTAAGTTTCATAATATTTAATATTCAAAAAATAATAAAAAATAAAAATATAAAAGTAGTAAAAGTAATAAAAGTAAGTTTGTTTTTAATTGTTTTCAGTGTAATTGGTTACCACAAGATGAACAAACTTTATTAATTTTCAAGGAAGCTGGCAATATAATAATGCAAGGTTCCGAAAAAGAAAGGAAATATTTGTATATTGCTGTTGCACTTTCTGAGTTATATAGATTATTATTAGCAGCAACAAAAGAAATATCAAAAGATAAAAATGACATTGGAAATAAAAAATTTTTCAAAAAGTTTGTTCGATATAAGATTGATAATATAAATTTATCAAAAAAAATGCTTTTTTTTATATCGCAAAAAAATTGGAATATTATTTATCATGGACTAAAAATTGTAATATAAATATGTATTTATAAATATATTTAATATAATAATTATAAATAATAATAATATAATATATAATAATAATATAATTTTAAATATTTATAATTCATTCACAAAATATTATTAATTAAAGTTATATATTTTTATTCAATTTCATAATTGAATTAAATTTTTGATAAATTCACTCACCAAATCTTTCCTTCAGTATCATTTTTAACACTCTTGATATTTTCGCACTTTTCGTAAAAATTTTTATATGTTAAAATTAAAAATTAATCCGTTCGTTCATTCACATGTCAGTAACATTAACAGTACAAATTCAAACTGTGACTTCAAGAAATAAAATCGATATATCAACTTTTAAATCGATATATCAACTTTTAATTTACTATCGATTTCTATTAATCGTCAAATAAATCAAATAATACATTCATTAAATGTAAAAATATATAATATAAATAAATTTAATATATATTATTACTTAAATCACTACATAAATAATTATCTTTTTTTCGTAAAAATATTATTATTATATTCTTAAGTTACAATCATAATAATAATTAATATCTTAAATTTTTATATTTTTCAAATTTCACTTTTATTCTATTTCTAATTTTTCTCCATTTAATTAAATATAATTTTATAGAGTTGTATGAAATACATAAGATTTTGATTATTAAAATTCATTATTGATATTATAAATACATATATATAATATCTTATTATTCTTTAGAAATAAACTGAAAATCGAATTTGCGGAAATTTAAATATCGAATTTGAATAATCGATAAATCGAATAACAGAAGGCGCCTTGTCAATGAAACAAGCAGACGATATTTACGAGAAATATAATCATACAGCAAGTAGACAGTGGGCAAAATGGTGGCAGACGAGAAATTGTTTTTCTCGAAAGCCGTCCAACATTTAGCTAGATGTTTAGCAGCAATTAAACCTACATCATCAGAAAAGGTATGTTAATTATTGATCTTGTATTGTAAATTAAAATGATATTTACGTATCAAAAAAAATTTGACATTTAATTAGAATTAGGTTAATTTCAAGAATATGTCAGCTAATATTCTGATATGTCATCTCATGATGTAATTCAGACAATCAATTCATTGTAATTAATTATTGACGTTATTATGTTTCTAAATAAATGAGTTATAATATATGTTACAGACATAATTCATTTTAAACAATTGTTTTGCAGATACAACTTTGTAAATAAAAAATTGCAAAACATTTTTTATTTATTATCAGATATTTTAATTTTTTTTATTGATTAATTATTTTCTAATTAATTTTCTAATTATTACTTTTAATTAAATAATTAATTAAACATGAAACATTTTTTAATCAAATAATATATTGTTTTATATTATAATTTTATGTAACTCATATATATTTGATTTTAAATAAATGATTTTCGATATTTATGTTATGTGAGTGTTTATTATATTTTTTTAAATTAAAAAAAACATATAAATATCCTTTATTGAATTATTAAATAAGATTATTAATATTTTAATTATATTTTAATAATTTAATTATTATTTATTATTTATTATTATTATTTATTAAAATTAGTTTAAATTATGCTGACAATTAATAAATATCATTATAAATACAATTAATATTAATAAGAAAAAATTTGCTATCTTACTTGTATCTATAGAAGTTTTTCTTAAATATATTTGATTTAAATAATTATATTAATAATGTAGAATTAAAAATTAAAGAAAATTTTTTCTTAATATAGATCACACAATTATTCAAGTTATGCCCACAAGAATCTACTCAAGGTATATATAGATTAGATCAAAGAGGTCAAGATGCAACTATTGCATTGGGAATATACTTTTTGGAATCTGGTCTACAACATCGGGATAAAATATTACCTTATCTTTTACGATTATTACGTGGTCTTCCAAAAGCTGTATGGTTGGATGAAATCAAATGTTCACCTAGTGAACGTATTCCTGTTGCTGAACGTTTTAGTTTTTGTTTAAATACATTACTTAGTGATGTTGCAGCTAGATGTGAACCAGTACGTGAAGAAATCATTTCTACTCAAGTAGAAATACTTGCAGTTTTAACAAATCTCATTAGAGGATACAAAGATCAAAATGGCAATAGAGGGATGCAAGCAAAATGTAGATATTCCCTTTTTATCGCTAACTATATTTTATTATAATTATATTTATATATATATATTTTTTTAGTGTCATTGTGTAAATGTCTAGTTCCAGTATTAATCGGTTTAGCTCGATCTATGGGTCGCTTTGCATACACTGATCCACCTCTTTTATGTCGTATTTTCCCGAGACCGGAACCACCTCTCTTAAAACCAAATACAGAAACGCGTTTAATATCAGATAGAAAGCAACATAGTTTTTCGAACTTTCGACCAATTATTCCTCGGTCGTTAAGTGGTAATTTGAATCCTCATCCGATTGTGGATACTGCACCAAGTTTATTGATCGGGGATCACGAATATCCCTGTGCTAAACGACCATCATTACAATCTTATTCATCAGTACCTTATGATCCACCCACATATTTTTTTAGTCGATATGGATCAAGTTTCAACCAATTTCCTCAAATGAGATGCAATGAAAGTCCTGAGAGAAGAGCTGGTATGCAATTTAATGTAGTACATTTACAAAGTGTATTGGCTTTAGCAAAAAAATTGCTTACTAAAGAAATTTTAACATTTCTCGATGAAGAAACTCAACAAGTTAGTTATATTATTTTATAATAAAATTATAATAAAATTTATAATAAAATACAATGTTACATTATTAATTTTATTTAATATAAATACCACTTGATTAAATTTTTATCTAGGTTTACAATTCTGGACAGGTGCAAATATTTCCTTATCGTACATTTAGTGAAACAATGAATTTAGTAATGGTTGCTCTTTTGCGAGAACTATTACAAAATCAACGCGATTTGCCTACTCCATTTACAAGGGATGTACAAGAGTTTGTAAAAGGTCTATTTTTATCTGGTCAAACAGAATTGCAATCGCGTCAACATGATGCAAGCGAACGCGAGGACATGGATACTAATTTCCGAACTGTAAATAGATTTAAAGTAAACGTTATGGCTAATTCTGCTTGTGTTGATCTTCTTGTTTGGGCAATTGGTGATGAAACTGGTAAGTTTAAATCAACACTTTAATATAGCCTGGAAAACCATATATGTTTAATATTCTTATTATGTTTTAATAAAATTATTTAAATATAAATATAAATAAATCTGCATTGGTAGGATTATATGTAGATCATTACGTTATTTTTCCAGTGAGAGACCAGTATGATTTGTCCGCGCTATTCGCAGATATCAGTTCAATGCTGATTGGCGAGGGTATTCGAATTTAGCTTATATTGCATTTCGATTGATTATCCCACATCTCTGATAACCTTCAATAATTTTTAACTAACGAATACAATTCCTACTTTGATATTACATTAACGCCGTTAATTTAATTGTTATTCCACTAAACATAATTCTCTTAGCTAATTTTAACTGTTTGTTCAATTATTAATGCGAAAATAAGCGACAAATTCATACATAAGACTATTACAACAATATATACATACTTATATATTTCTATGCACTGCTGTTTTAAATTATTGAAAGAGTAATTTCTATACAGTGCTCTTCATTTTCTGGGAAAAATTTTTAGAATTAACAAAAATTATCTGGCCTACGAATAATAGTAGGGTTACATTTGCAAATATTATTTATGGAATTAGATATTATTTACAGGTGCAGATAGTTTATGCGGACGTTTAGTTGAAAAGATTAATTCTAATCATGGACCAAAACTGGTGCTGGCACATATGCCTTTATTAATGGTATGCCTTGAAGGATTAGGAAAATTAGCGCAAAAATTTCCTAATATTGCAAGTACATCTATATATTATCTTCGAGATTTTCTTGTTGTTCCATCGCCTATATTACTTAAATTACATCGTCAACAAAGTGAAAGAGGTGGCATAAAATCTTTAATAAACATATTATATTGTAATGCTGTAATATATATGAAAAATTTTTTTTTAAGGAAAGATATACAAGATTCGAAACAAACTACTTCGTCGATACAAACAGCCTTTGAGAAATTACGAGATGCAGCTATTGGTAATCTTTGTATTGCTTTAGAAGCTGCTCATTCTGTTAATCCGGATTGTGTACCGGCATTAGTTGCTAGTGTCTCGAATAGATTATTTGCTGCTGATATATGCGACGGGTATTATAAATATTTTTTCGTTTATACATTTTATTCATTTTTTTCTGAATTTTGTTTTTGAATGTTTTAGTTACAATATCTCAATTATTTATTTCAATACTTTTAGTGAATCTGATGACAGGTCGAATAGCGAATTAATTTCGAAAAATATAGTAATTATGTTGGGGCATGTCGCTGTTGCGTTGAAAGATACCCCAAAAACTATGCGTACAATATTCCCATTTTTTCAACAATTATTTTGTCGTACTCCGAGTGATCTTGATTTTCTGATCGTGGATCAATTAGGATGTATGATTATTGCGAAATGCGAATCAAAGGTTCATTTTAAGATTAATTAACAATTACCAAATAAATTGATAAAATTTTCATATATAAATTATTATATTATGTAAAATATAGAAATATATTTTTTTTTCAGATTTATGAAGGCATAATGCAAATGTTTTCTATGTCATTGGGTTCAAGTACGGCAACTTATGCTTCTAATGATGATCGAAAGCAATATTGTCATGTAGCTAAAGCAGTCACAAATGCTCTTGCAAATATAGCAGCGAATCTCCAAGGTGAAACAGAATTAAATGATTTATTACTTCATTTGCTCGAACTTTTTGTTCAGTTAGGATTAGAAGGTAAACGTGCCAGTGATAAAGCATCAAATAATGTCTCTATGACGGTAATTATAATTGATGACTTAATTAATAATTATATGGCAATTTACAAAATTTTATTATAATTCTTATATTTTACATAATATATATCAGAAAACAGCAAGTAGCGCAGGAAATTTAGGTGTGCTCATTCCTGTAATTGCTATATTACTACGGCGACTTCCACCGATCAGACATCCACAAAAAAGACTTTTAAAGCTTTTTAAAGATTTCTGGCTTTATTGTGTCGTGATGGGTTTTGCTGGCGATCAAGCACCGCGATTGTGGCCCGCAGAATGGTACGAAGGTGTTAAAGAAATTGCTGTAAAGTCGCCTTATCTTATTTCACAAACTAGTGCACGACTTGAAATGAGAGAATTACAATATACTTCAGCTGTACGCAATGATAGTGTTTCTTTGAATGAATTACAAGAATTAAGAAGTCAAATATTAAAATTAAGTACTCGGTAAATATTTTTATTCATTTTGTTAATTTTGTAAATTTGTTCTAAAGAATTATTATATCAAAAGAATTAGTATATATTATAAGCATTTATTTTTTTTTTTTTTTACAGAACAAACGATATATCACAATATGTGACAAAATTACAATTTGCACAATGTACATATTTATTATCGGTCTATTGGTTAGAGACACTGAGAGTGGCAAACAGTTCTGAACCTAGTTTACAACCAATAATGGAATATTTATGTGATACAGATTTACAAAAAGATAAAAGCGGTATGTGGCAATGTATTTGTTGTGTTGCTGATTCTGTCTTTGTGAAATTCAAAGATGTTATGCAGCGTAAACCAAAAGATGAACGACGTGAAAAAGAACTCGAAAATCATGCTCAGTTCCTCTTAGTATATTTTAATCATGTACATAAACAAATTAGACGCATAGCGGATAAATATCTTAGTGCATTGGTGGATGCATTTCCGCATCTTTTATGGAATTGTAAAGTGCTTTGGAGCATGTTGGATATATTACAAGTATGAATTCTTTTTTATTCTATATTTATGTTATTATGTTCAATTAAATTATTATTTATATGTATATAGATTTTATCGTTTTCATTGCAAATTGATCCAAATGAAGAAACACCAATTTTACGAATACCTAGTACACCATATAGTATTGAACTTATGGATACACTCGAAGCTAGAGAGGTATATATATATATATATATTAATATTAGATATATTAATTATACAAATACTGAAATTAAATTATATTATGTAGATAATTGTAAAAGATTTTACTGCAAGGTGTAAAGGTATAGTACAAGAAGCTATGAAATGGGCACCTCAAGCTACTAGATCACATTTACAGGAATATGTAAATCAAATTCCATCTTCTGGATTAAAACATCATTCTGGTTTATGTTTATCTACGGATTCAGTTCTTGAATTTGTAGATCTTGCTATACCAACCTCGGCCTTACCAAATGTAAAATGATATTTTTAATATTTTAAAATATCTTATTTTAAAAATAATAAAATATATTTCTTATAGACCAATTCATTAGATAAGCGACCAAAAGGTCCAAAAGGAGCCAGTTCGTGGCTTCTGTCAATGATGTCAACACGATCACGATATGCCGGAGAAATAGCAGGAATGTTATCATTAGCGCAAACCGAATCATCTACTTCTGAAATATCATTCGAAGAAATTAGGAACAAAGTTGTAGATTTATTAATCGATGCTGTATGGATGGCTTGCCGTGCACGAAATGATGTTACGCATCGTAGCGCTCTATGGCGTGCTACTGCATTATTAATATCTATGCCTGGTAATTTGCAACAATAATTTTTTAAAAATTGCTATTCTTATTTCTTATATAATTTGCAATATTATAATTTCTATTCTATTCAGGAACACATAGACGTTTGTTACATACAGTAGCTTCTTCGCAGATTGAATTGTTCACTCCTGCAGCTATGACTACAGCAGTTGAATGTTGGCAATGGATACTAACTGTACGACCAGATTTAAAATTACGTTTCTTACAAGAAATGTTTGTTGCATGGCAATATACTGTTGACAAAAGAATGGGTTTGTTTGCACCAGATGAAGAAGAAGTTAGTCCTCTGGCAATATACGAAGGTTGCAAATTAGGTCCAAATCCTCCCCAAGTCAAACCTCACGATATTTGGGTTACATTTATTGTAGAATTAATTGAAACTGCTAAATATTGCTGTCAGGAGACAGTTGACATGATTGTTATATTATTACATCGGTCACTGCCCATGACTGTTGGTGCTTCTGGTGAGGAACCTGGAATGAGTCGCCATGTCGCCGCAATTGGAGTACGCTTTAAATTGCTTTCTTGTGGATTACTTCTTCTTCAAGGTGATATTTTATCAAGGTATTCATTGTATTTCATATACGTATCATGAAAAATTCAATATAAATTGAATATTAACTTATTGAATAATCAAATAATTAATTTTATTTATAGAACATTAAGCAAAAATGTGTTACGAGAACGTGTATATTGTAACTGTTTGGATTATTTTTGTCGAGATCGTCAAGTACCAACACAAGAATTAGAACAATTACACGAAGATTTAGTTACGCTTATACGATTTTGGCAAGTCAGTAAGATATTTTTAATTTAGAAAAATATTAAATTTTTTCTATTTATTTCTATTTGTTTAATAATATTTATTTTATCACATTTTAGGTAATGCATAGTGATAAAAAATATTTAGTAATGACGGGTAATGAAAGTGAATTTGAAATTTTAACACCCCAGTCATATTCAACTGGTGGTTTTGGACCTAGCGAAACAATTAGTTCATTAAGTACAGCTTTAGGTACTACTAATAGTGAATTTTCAAAAACACCAACGAGTGTATGGATTAATACAGTTCCAATGTCTACTAGTAGTAATACATTAGGTAAACGTAGTAATCGTAGTAAACGTGTTATGAATGCTAATGTTTTTGTAAAGGATTATATAAAGAAAAGAAATTTGATTCTTGAACTGCTGGCAGTTGAAATAGAAATGTTATTAGTAAGTTCTAATTTTACACTTCATATACTTTTCTTAATTTTTTCAACATTATTTAATATTTTTTAAATTATATTTTATATATATTTTTAAATTATAGGTTTGGAGAAATCCTAGTGGAAGACAAGAACTTGCACTTCCTGGTGAATCAAGTATTGCAGAATGGCGCGCTAAGGGTATGAATGATCGATGGCGTGAATATACGCGGCTTGCATGGGAAATTAGTCCTGTACTTGCTATATTTTTACCAGTTCGATTAAAAAATTCAGAAATTATTATTAAAGAAGTATGTGGTCTTGTTCGTCTTAAACCTGTACCAGTTATGCATGTCCCAGAAGCTTTACAGTATCTTGTTACAACTGATACATTACTTAATGATGTACCTGAAGTAAGATATTTTTTTAAAGATTTTCAAAAATCTTTTATTACTTTTTACTAACTATATATTCTAATTTATTATTTCAATATGTTTTAGTTGGTATATATGCTAACATGGGAAAGAGTATCACCTATTCAAGCTTTAGCATATTTTTCTCGTCAATTTCCTCATCATCCAATATCTGCACAATATGCAGTAGAGGTGCTAAGTAGCTATCCAGCAGATGCTGTACTTTTCTATATACCGCAACTTGTACAAGCTGTACGCCATGATACTATGGGTTATGTAATAGAATTTATAAAAAAAATTGCTAAACGTTCACAAGTGAATATTATATATATATCATATTTTACATAATTTAGTTGTTTTTAAATTAAAATTTATTGTTATGCTTAATTTTTAATACAGGTAGTGGCACATCAATTAATTTGGAATATGTATACAAATATGTATTTAGACGAAGATAAACAAATTAAAGATCCTATTTTGTATGATATATTAGATTCGCTTGTAAAAAGTATTTTAGGATCATTATCTGGCCCAGCAAAACAATTTTATGAAAGAGAATTCGATTTTTTCGAAAAGATTACAAATATTTCAGGTGAAATAAGACCATATCCTAAAGGTCCAGAACGTAAATCGGCATGTTTAAAAGCTTTATCAAAAATCAAAGTACAACCAGGTTGCTATTTACCATCTAATCCTGAAGCTATGGTAATTGATATTGATTATCAAAGTGGAACTCCTATGCAAAGGTAAATACATTGAAATATTTTCTTTATATTTTGCATCTTAGTCATTATTATTTTATATATTTTTATTATTTATAGTGCTGCAAAAGCACCATTTTTAGCGCGCTTTAAAGTACGAAAATATGGAATTAATGAATTAGAAAATATTGCATTAGCAGTATCAGCTAATGGTAAAATGGATGCTAAAAGAGAATCAGAAAAAGAAACATGGCAAGCTGCTATTTTTAAAGTTGGAGATGATGTTAGACAAGATATGTTAGCTTTACAAGTAATCAGTATTTTCAAGAATATATTTCAAAAAGTTGGATTAAATTTATTTTTGTTCCCATATAGAGTAGTAGCTACAGCACCTGGGGTAAATTACTTAACTTTACTTTTTAATTATAAGAAATAATTTTAATCTAAATTTTTTATGATTATTATTATATTATAAAATATTAATACATATTCCAGTGTGGTGTCATAGAATGCGTACCTAATGCAACTTCACGTGATCAACTTGGTCGCACCACTGATATTGATATGCATCAATATTTTATTACACGTTATGGAGATGAAACAACGAAAGAATTTCAAAATGTACGTCGAAATTTCGTAAAATCGATGGCTGCCTATAGCGTTATTACGTATCTTTTACAAATAAAAGATCGCCATAATGGTAATATTATGTTGGATACTGAAGGCCATATTATACATATCGATTTTGGATTTATGTTTGAAAGTTCGCCTGGAGGTAATTTAGGCTTTGAACCTGATATTAAACTGACTGATGAAATGGTGCTTGTAATGGGAGGTAAAATGGAAGCTGCACCTTTCCGTTGGTTCATGGAATTATGTGTACAAGCTTTCCTTGCCGTAAGGTAATGAAAATAAATTCAAAAAAATTTGGAATTAAAAGATATGTTAGACTTTTAAATTTTATGTATTAATTTAAACATATTATATTTAATTAATCTATAAAAAATATTTAATATATAGAAGAGTTAAATAATTCAATTAGATCTATTTTCTTTCCAAATAATTAATTTTCGAATTAATTATAAATTCTAATTAAATTATAATTTTTACAGACCTTATCAAGAAGCTATTATTTCTTTAGTTTCTTTAATGCTTGATACTGGATTGCCATGTTTCCGTGGACAAACAATAAAACTTTTACGCGGTAGATTTGTGCCGACAGCAACTGATCGCGAAGCAGCGGCCTATATGCTCAATGTAATACGTAACAGCTACCTCAATTTCCGTACGAAAACTTATGATATGATACAGTATTATCAGAATCAAATTCCTTATTAAATTATTACTTCTAAGTGATTTTCATTGACAATTGTTAATTTATAATGAAGAAATTCATTATTTCTGCAAAAATTGTTGAATGAATATACTATGTACTATATTGTTAGATACAGCAATGTTAAATTTGCTGTTTGTACAAACTTCTCAGTGTCAATGTTATTCTTAGACTTATATAAATTTTATGAAAACATTGTGCTCTGTATGTATGTAAGAATAATGTATTATAAAGTGGAAAAATTATTCTATGTCTGCTGTAAAGCAGAAAATGTGTATACATAAGAAACATTCCTCTATTTATTATTTATGTACTGTTGTCGGTTAAATATTAAATGGGAAAATAATTCAATAAATCTTTAGTTTAATTATAAAAATCTTAACACTATTATATATAACTTTTATTTAAATTAATATTATCTATTATGCTATAATTTGAGTACAATTAAAATTTATATCATTGCATTCGTTTTTTTATTTTATTTTGATTTTGATAATGCATCTAGTTTTATTTTAGCCGTATCTATTTTCCTGAAATTATGCACAATATATTTAAATTAAATAGCATTATAAAAAATTCAATGTAAAACATTATATTTTACTTTCTAGTTTTTTATGTATTATGTAAATAAAAAAATATAATCACCCTGTTTCTAAATGACCTTCTGTATATATTTCAATTGGTGGTTGTACAAGACGTCTAGCATCACGAGTATAATAATATACTTTTGAGCTTTTATGATACGGTCCTCCAGGTACATGTGGAGATGGTTGTGTACGTGCAGCAATACCATCTGCATGTCTTAAACTTGATACATGTTTTCTCTGTAATATATATGTTATTTTTTATATAAATTCATTTCTTATATTTTTATTTATATTTATTTCTCTATTATATTTTATATAATTATATTATATGTCATATAATTTACTTTAAATCTTCAAATAAATTGATATATGATAATATTTAATATTTTATTAATAATACATAATTAAGATTTTAAAAAATAAAAATTGTTTTTATTGAATAATTATTAGATAGAATTACTATATAAGAAATATATTTTCTATAAGCTCATAAAAAAATAAAATAAATAAAATAAATTACGTAATATCAAAAAAAAATAAAAGCAATATAAAATTCACATTAATTAAATTTAAATTTTGCTTACACCTCGACCAAAATCTCGAAGCCATTGTATGAATGGAGTTTGATTGCGATATTCTATACCAGGCATTTTTATTATTCGAGTTTAATTTAAAATAAATAAATTATTTCTAATGCAACCACTGTCCATAAAACATACAATACTAAACTTAACTTTCGCTTATCAATTTCGATATAGTACAAAATTATCGATAATCGTTATTTTCAATTGTCGAATATTACGACAAGAATATTTTACATATCTTATATATCTTTTATACATAAAAATTAAGAAAAACAAATTATTCTATATAAACAAAAATATTAATAATTATAAATTAATAAATAATTCAAAAAAATGTTCATATTATAAATTATAAATTTTATTTTTTTAAATTAAATTATTGTTATTTATTTTATAATATATCTATTATGTTAATTCTATATTTATTCTATATTATATTCTGTATTATTAAATTTTATATTTAATATTAATTATTGTTTATTAACTAAAATTATATTATTTAAAAATAATATAAAAATAATTATATGAATATAAATAATAATATATAAAGTATTCTATTAATTAATATTGAATCCATTTCAAATTTACATTTGAATCTAAACAAATTTCATAATTTTGTCAAAAATATCAAAACATTTTTCTAAAAATATTCAAAAGATGGTGCTGATAGTCAATAGCCTATTACTATCTTTCTTCTGCTTTCTTTGTCTATTTCTTTATGTTTTATCTAAGTCTTAGATTCTAAGACATTCTATAGATGATAATGATGATTTCAAATTTTTACTCTATCTATCTTTTTCCTACTACTAATATATATTTATATTTTCTATTATTATATTCTATTATTATTATTAATCTTTTATATTACAAGATTTTTTTTCTTATTTGTAATTTTATATTGAAATTAAGTTCATCTTTAACTATTTCTAATGTTGTAATCTTATTCTGAATCAAGTCGATAATGTTGAAAATGATACTAAAATTATAAAAGAGGTCCTAGTGTTCTTGAAGCATGGGACAAAAAATACATTGAACGTTAAAATCTATTTTATAGTTCATCTGTGCTTGTTAAACAGTAAGGTCATCATTTTATCAGCTGAAGTATTCATTACGATACGTTAGCTTATTTGTGATCGTGATTCAGCAAAACGATAAGTACATTTTATAATTATACGAGAATTCTTACGGTGCAACATTTTAGAAGCACTTGTCGTTCCGTGTAGTCGAGAAATCTTCGAAGATGACTAAAGCAGTGTGCGTTCTTCAGGGTGAAGTCAAAGGCACTATTTTTTTCGAACAACCGGTAAATGATTTTTTTGATTAATATTCAGCATATATATTCTATCATAATATTTTATATTTATTTTTAATGATATAATTCTTGAATAGGAAAGTACTAATTCTGTGAAGGTCACGGGTCAGGTAACCGGTTAAAAAAGGATTGCATGGTTTTCATGTTCATGAATTCGGTGATAATACCAATGGTATGTATTTCCAATTAAATATTATTATTTTTTTTAATTATTGTTAAACATTATAAAAAAAGTCTTGATAACTTTAATAAACTTTGAAATGTAATTTCAGAAGTAATATGTAAGATAATGATAATGGTAATGATAATAATAATAATAATAATAATAATAATAATAATAATAACAATAATAATAAGTATATATAATATATATCAAGTTATTATATGTACTATATATATATATATATATATATAATATAGTATATATATTCTTTT